GTGCATAAGAAGAGAAAAGGAACAAGATATGATACAAATGGAAGCTAAAACTATGCAAAAGATGCATAAAAGATGTGCTAAAACTATGTAAAATGCAAGTACATCAACACCCCCAAACTTGAACTTTGCTTGCCCTCAAGCAAACAAACAGAACAAGAAGGGATGAGGTTTGAAAACAAGCTGATTTAACACTTAAAAACATGTCCTCAAAAACGATTTGCTAAATGTCCAACTTAGAGATTCTAAAATGCAACAAGGTGAATGCATAAGAAGAGAAAAGGAACAAGATATGATACAAATGGAAGCTAAAACTATGCAAAAGATGCATAAAAGATGTGCTAAAACTATGTAAAATGCAAGTACATCAGCCCCTTGTAGATTAATTGCTTTCATATCATTCTCCTGTTTATACCATTGTGAATTTGCCTCACCTCACCTCTGTTTCACTATTAGAACTTGTTGCATGTGCTTGAAACATTGAATTTGAGTTTGGTATTGCTTAAGATGCTTAAGGTCTCACTAGAATTGCTTATTGTTCCATTAACTTGTTGTTCGTGGTTCAATTTGATTATTAAGCATCCTTTCCAGCTCTTAATATTCGGATTAGGTTCGGTTATACTCTGTTTTCGCTTAGCTCGATCGAGTTTGTCACTCGAGTTTTTTGACTCGATCGAGCTGAGTGTCGAGTTGACCAAACCGATCATTGCAACTCTAATTCTTTGTAATCTTTGATGCATTTCAGGTACTTTAGTGAAGAAACAGTGTAACAGAGATGACAAACAGTGAGGGAAGTCGCGCTTCACAGAGGAGAATGGTTGAGGGTGAATCAAGCAATGCAAGGGAGAGAAGGCTTAAAATGCAAGCCGATTTGGCGGCAATGACTCAAAGGATGGAAGAGTCTGATGCAGAGGAGTATGTATACTCTGAGGAAGAGTCTGAGATCGAGAGATTGAGGGAGGAAAGGAGGACCAAGAAGAGGAATGACCCCATTAGTAGTGAGAGTGAGCAAGGGGAGTTTGAGATTGGAGTGAACCTTGTTCAAGAGGAGGGTAATGGCTATCCAAGTGAAGAAGGAAGTGATGAGTGTGAGAGTGAAGAGGAAAGAGAAGAGGTGAATCAGTTGGTTGATGAGAGTGAGCAAGAGAGTAACCAAGGTGAACCTATGGAGGAGGTTGAGCCACAAGAGGAGGAAGAAGAACTCCCTATGTACCAAGAGCACTACAATGCTCTCTTCTCCATGGACTTTGTGGAGACCAAGTACCCACATGTTGACACAATGAAGGCCCTTGGAATCTTTGAAGATGTGGAGCTAGTTCTCAAGAACATGCACTTGGGAAGGTTTTTGTCTCATCACATGGAATCCTACAAAGAGCTCACTTGTGAGTTCTTGGCTTCAATGAGGTACCACTTGTACGATGAGGAGAGAGTACTTGGACCAAGGTTGGGATGGATCACGTTCTTTGCAAGGAGGAAGAGAATGGGACCATTAGGGGGAACTCAAGTTCACTATGGAGACATGAGTGGAATTCAAGGAAAAGCTCCAATTTGGCACAAGCTGATGGAGAGATCAAGGAGAAGCCAACACAGGAAACTTGATGCCTTTCCTTGATCATCTCCCACCTACAAGACCACAGCCTACAACACTCGATATCAACAAGGGAAGAGCCTAAGTGTTGGAGGGCTCATCACTCCTATCTTGTGTGCAGCTGGAGTGAACCCAACTGACAAGAGAAGGCCACTGAACCAGGTTGGATGGACATCAAGTTTTGCAAGACCAACCTCCTCATTGAGCACAAGGAGTTGGATGGGAGTTCCAATTCAAGTTCACACATCCATTGGCTGGCCCTTCCAAGCTTCTCCTGCCCAACCCTGAGCTCACCACAGTAGTCAGGGGTGAGAACATTGACTTCAGACCCCCTGTGTACACATTAGTTGGGCATGAAGATTTGCGAGAAGAGGAGCCTGAGCTCGATCGAGCTGAGGATCGAGCTGAGCTCAAGCTGAGGATCGAGTCCAGGAGAGTGCGGATTTGGGTGAGCCTGAGTGCTATTACTTTGAGGAGTATGAGGCTCCAAGGATGAACCCCTCTGTTGTGGCTGCCCACAAGAGGATTGGACTTCTCCAAAAGTTCAACAAATGGCAAGGGAAAGCCATTGAGAAGATGCAAAAGTCCATGGACAAGATGGTGAGCAAGATCAAAAGTTTGGAGAAGAAGGTTTCTGGTTCTTCAAGCAAGAAGAAGAAGTCCAAGGCTCCCACATTCCTAGGAGTAGATCACTTCCTCACCACCCAAGGAGGCTCCCTGCCCAAGAGCCTCACAGAGCCTCTTCTTTCGAGCCAAGGGAAGGAGAAGACAACACGCAGAGAAGGAGGAAGACTTCCAAGGCCAGACGCTCCAGCTCGACCACCGGACTCGATCGAGTCCAAACAGAGGAAACTCAACTCGATCGAGCTGAGGGTCGAGTTGACCTGGAGGAGCCCCAGTTTGAGATCCGGGATTTGAGTACGATCCAACGCCTTACCAGGACCCTCGGAGTAGATGGAACCCCTATGGACAGTACGAGCTAGCCAATGCTCCACCAAGGCCAAGGAGCCACACACACTTTGATGAAGAAGAGGAAGAAGAGGAGCCGCAAGCTCGATCGAGTGAGGAACCCAGTCGAGTGGAGTGCTCCTGATGGCCGTCTACCATCTCCAGACCACGACCTTGCCTCCCAGTTCTTTGGGGGCACTGAGGTATCAAACACCAACCCTTGTATATACCATTTCATATTTTCTTGCATTTTTTTTGTTTTTCTTGGTTTTGCCCTCTTGAATCTTTCACTAAATTTCTCTCACACAAGGGACTGTGTGATTTAAGTTTGGGGGAGGGTTCAAGAGATGATTTAACCTTGTTTTCTTTGTTCTTAGTTTTTCATTCATCTTTTGCATAGAAAAACCAAAAAAATCATAAAATTTTCAAAAAATCCAAAAATATTTTCATCTTTTTGCATTCATATTTGTTAGACTTGTTTAGGATTGCATCTTTCACTTGCATTGTTGATTTGACTTTGAAAACTTGTTCATCATTTGCGATTTCTTGAGTGCCCTGTTTTTAGATTCTTTTGTGCATTAGGGTGAGATTGATTGAGCAGCAAGAACCATGTTTATCTTGATCATATCACTGCATGCACATCTCATTCAACCATTGCTGTGATTTGATGCATTTCCCTATCTATTTGAACCATAACTTGATCTTTAATTACCAATGCTTGCATTTGATTTCAACTCATGGCTACCACATACATATCTGGACATTCTTTACCATTTTCATATCCCTCTTGCTTGTCCAGATAGCTGATCTCATCTTTGAGACAGTTACCACACCTTAAACCTAAGCCTTTTTCATTTCAAACCCCATATTATCTCTTGTGCGAATGTGAGAACCTTTCTTGGCTTTGCTTAGCATAAGGTGTTGTGTTTAAACCGGCAGGGGCAGTAGTTCTAGTTGTCTAGTTCTCTTGGGATTGTTTTCAGGCTAAGTTTGGGGGTGCCAACTCGAGCTCGATCGAGTTGGGTGTAAAAACCAGAAAAGTGGTAAAAGTTGGGAAAATCCAAAGGAAAAAGAGTTTAGTTAAGTCCAGGGAGTTGGCAGTGTTAAAAAGGGTCTAGTAAAGGTTTGGGAAGTTAAAAAAGGAAGTAAAAAGGGTTCTAAGTAGAATGAAAAGAAGGCAAAGCCTCAAGTGTCAAAAAGAAAAGAAAAGTTCCCTAAGTGTTTAGAAAATCCCAAACCGCTAGATGTTACCTCAAGAAGCCTCTCCCTAGGAAGTTCTTAAAAGAAAAGTGAGCAAAGCTCCTCAGTTTCAAAGGCGAAATGCCAAAAAGGGTAGTTAGGATTTTGTTCTAAAAAGCTCTAAGTGTTGAACTCGATCGAGTTAGGATTAGGCGGCTCGAGCTGCTGTTCTTGCATCATCTTTGGTTCTAACACTTAGCCTTCTGCCAAAGCAAAGCCACTTTCTTGAGAGATCCCTGTTACTAAACCACCATACAAAAGAGACCCTCTTTGTCTCTTAACCCATAAACCCTTGAAACCAAATGAGTTGATTGATCTTGCTTGGTTCACTGTTTTTGCTTAATGAATGTTAAAGGGATTTGCTGATTTGAATGCATTGTTTGAGTGACTGTGAAGTGGGATTGATGTTGATAAGCATGGTTAAATCTTAATGAATATCTCTCACCTTGTTGCATTCTAGAATCTCTAAGTTGGACATTTAGCAAATCGCTTTTGAGGACATGTTTTTAAGTGTTGAATCAACTTGTTTTCAAACCTCATCTCTTTCTTGTTCTATTTGTTTGCTTGAGGGCAAGCAAAGGTCAAGTTTGGGGGTGTTGATGTACTTGCATTTTACATAGTTTTAGTACATCTTTTATGCATCTTTTGCATAGTTTTAGCATCCATTAGCATCATATCTTGTTCCTTTTCTCTTCTTATGCATTCATAGTAGTTTTAGGTTGCATTTGCATACATATGCATGTTTGGTCCTTTGAAATAGGTCTTTTGGAGCATTCTGGAGCATATGGGACGTGAGGAGCATGGAGGGACTTGGCGCATGGACGCAGCTCAACTGGATACGCAAAGGAAGAAGGAGGAAGCCATCTTGAAGACCAGCTCGACCATCTACTCGACCAACCGGTCGAGTTCCTCAACTCGACCGGCCAAGCTTCAACTCGATCGAGCTGGAAGTCAAAGTCAAACCCGAAAAATGTTGCTTCCCCCTTGACTTTCCTTTGACCCTAAACCTAATCCTCTTGTATTTAAAGGCTCTAAGCCACGAAAAAACCACCAAGCTTTAGATTACTTTTGTTTTAGTTTCTTTTAATTATTGTCTTTTACTTTTTAGAGCTCTAATCCCATCTTTGTGTTCTTGAAGCTCTTGCTTCTTGAATCCTAGATCCTGGATAATCTCTTTGTATTTGCACTTGCTTATTTCAATAAAAGTTGTTTATTTCATCTCCTCTTTCTTATGATGTCTCTTTTATTGCATTTGCTTGTGTTTACATTCATGTGTAGTGAGTAGTTACCCATTAGGGTTTGAGATGGGATAGATTAGGGTTTCATATGCTTAATCCTTCTTGCTTATGGTCTTAATCTAGATTCTCTCTCTTTTGGATAAATCTTAAGGCTACATGACCACTACCCCTGGCTTGTATGTCCATTAGGCGATTCTCCACATGGAAGTGATGGAAATCGCTGGAAAAATCCACTAAGAGCTCCAATATCTCTTGCTCTAGAAATGGAGGTCTAAGGGGTTGGATGGATTAGTTTGGGCAATGATCCTATGGCCTCCAAGGTTTGATTCTCACTGGCTAACCCCCTGTTTCTGAGATCATTCCTTGGTTGATAGCTTTCACCTTGGGAAAGGGTTAGCTAGGCATTGAGAAGCCCAATATCAAGAGAACCTTTAGATTGATTAAGTGTAGCTTCCCTGATTGCAAAACCCTGTCTTGAACCCTAATTCTCGCATTAGCTTGTTAAAGTCGCTGCCTTTATTGCTTTTTCTCAACTCGACCCTAAACTCGATCGAGCTCGGTACTCTGTTCCAACTCGACTCGAGTCCTTGGTCGAGCTGTTGCTTACTGCTTTTTTACTTTATTGCATTGCATTTCATTTTTTAGGTTGTTAGTGTTACCCCAAATCTATTACTGCTTGCTTGACTTCCTGGTTGTTTCATATTCTCATAGAGTGACAATTTCCCATTTTGGATTGATAACCCTTATGCTATACATGACTATCATGGTTAAAGGGAATTGTTGACTGTGTTTGTGTTTGCATCTTACCACCTCATATATACCACTGTTGCATTCCACCACATCTCATTTCATATCTTTCACATCCACACACAAATCCTATCATCACTCTTCAGGCCAAATCATGCAATCAACAGTAGGTTTTGAAAGCATCCATTCTGGAACTTGGTCTTCAAATCTTTCTTCTATGGCAGCTGAGTTGCAAAAGGACTTCTTGGATTCAGCTTCCTGTCTCTTAACAGCTTCCATAGTTTGAGTGACTTGAGTCTCTAGTTTCTTCACATGAGTGGCAACAGCATCATACTTGGTGTTGAGATTGCTGAACAAAGTGTCCATCTTCTCATACATCTCTTTAGTGTTTCTCTTCTGGCCATCCATGATCTGTTGGAGGATTCCTTCAAATCTTCCACCTTGTTGGTTTGGAGGAGCTTGATTTGGTGAAGAAGCATATGGCTCCTTGGGCGGATATGATGATCTCTGCTCATATCCTTGCCTTGGCTGAAATTGACTTCCTTGAGATTGGTAAGGAGGTCTTTGTTGTTGTGGATACCTTGGAGGATACACTTGGTCTTGAGGATTCTCCACATTGGGGTTTCTATAAGACATGTTGGGTTTGGGCGATAGCTTGGATTGTATCCCTTGTTCCCATAGTTTCCAATGTAGTTCACATCTTCTTCATTGGCTTCATTAGAGAATCTCCCATGCATTCTCTTGATGGGTCTTCATTAGCATCACTCATCCCTTCTATTGCATTGATATGCTTGAGCTGTCCCTTAAGAACTTGAGCCATCATGTTCTTGAGTTCAGTCATTTGAAAAGAATCAGGGGAGCTAGTAGTGGTGCGGCTTGAGCGATCATAATCAGGACAGTTGTTACAATCACTAGCTGCAAGATTCTCAATAAGAACCTTAGCTTCATCAACAGTCTTGGTCATGAAGTTTCCATTGCTTGCAGTGTCCAATGAAAGCTTGTACTTGTGGTCTATGCCACGATAGAAGATGTTCCATAGGTTTCCCTCATTGAAACCATGATTAGGGCAGTCCCTAATGTACTCCTTGAATCGATCTAGCGCCTCATAGAAAGATTCATTGCCTTGGCGAAAGTGGAGATCTTGTTCCTCACAGAAATTGATCTCTGTTTGGTGTAGAAGTGGTTGATGAAAGCAGCCTTGTACTCATCCCAAGTGGTGATGGAGTGAGCTGGCAGAGACTTCAACCATCTTGAAGCTTTGTCGCCAAGAGAGAATGAAAAGAGCTTGCACTTAAGTAGTCAGCAGAGACTCCATTGGATCTTGTAGTGCTGCAAATTTCTTCAAAGTTTTCTATGTGATCAAGAGGGATGCTCAGCTGGAAGGCCATTGAATTGGTTCTGTCTAACCAATGCTATGATCTGAGGCTTGATCTCATAGTCATTCCTTGCAGGTGGTGGTGGATGGATAGGGTTTCTATCCATGAAGAAAGCATCGGCAGAGTCATAGTCTCCGATTGTAGGTGCTCCAGCTTGAGGTGTGCATTCACATCTCCAGCAGGATCTTGTGGATTAGGAGGAGGAGGAGGTGGATCTCTTCCTTCTTCTTGAGCGCGCGCCACTTCAGCGGCGTGAGCGCGAGCTGCTTCGTCGGCCATCTCTTGGGCTTTCTGCTTCCTAAGTTGCTTCTCAAGCTTGTCTATCTCTGGATGTTCAACTAGGTTGTCCTTGTTGGACCTCCTAGTCATGCACCTGAAAAGAGTCTTGGAAACAAGTTAAATCAAAAGGGAAAAACAAAAACAAAAGCAAAAATCAAAGAAAAGAAATCAAAAACTAAAAATTCAAAAGCAAAAGAGCAAAAAAAAGGAAAAGGTTCTAGACTAGATCCTAGTCGAGTTCCAAAGGTACTGCTGCAGTCCCCGGCAACGGCGCCAAAAACTTGATGTGAGTCAGGTTTTACCAAACTCCTAGACCTCTGCAAGTGCACAGATCGCGGAAGTATGGGTATCGAACACAAGGACTGGCTATTGAGTACACTTTGAAACTATGGATTTTGGATCAAGCTAAAACAAAAGTATGATTGAGGTTGTAATGGTGAACCGAACTAGCAAGTAAACGAGGTTGTAAACAATAAAGGAAAAGCGCTAGGTCATAGGGGCTATCGCAGAGAAGCAAGCAATGATCAATGAAACAATGATAGATTAATTGATTAGGGATATTGGGATATTAAGAACCATCTAGAACACAGATCACGAATATAAAACCATTCCACTTTCGAGGCTCCGGCTCCTTTGCTAATCTACCTAGTCGCTAAACTTTTGGTATGTCCCTAGGTGATTAGATCAAGCATTAGAATGAATAGGTTCTGATACAGTTCACTAGATATAGATAGATCAACTTTCGCAGTCTAAGAAACCTAGCTTGTCAAAGAATATGTCCGGCGAATGATACAGCACTGTCGAGGCTCAAATCAACCTAAGATCGGATTACTAGATGCGCGGTAAAGCAATCAGCATTAGTTAAGTGCACAAGACGAGACAAAGACTCTAATATAATCCCTAGCTAATCATTGAAATCAAAGATCATGCAAGCAACTCATTGAATAGTAACCCTAGCAACCTAACTAGTGGATTACTCAGACATGATCAAAGCAAACACACATAGAGATGAAGAAAACATGATTGCAATAAAACTTAGAGTAGGAAATCGAAATACAAGGGCGGCTCTCTTTCTCAAGAGGCTAAAAATATATATATAGTGCTAGGTCTTTCTAGAGGCGGCTAGGGTTAAGCCGGGCTTGAAAACATAAGTTTGGGCTTCAAAAGGGCTTCGGGTCGACCGCGGCGTTGGGACGGTCGTCGGGACGATCGGCCGGACATCGGTCGTGGCGAGTCGGAACGGTCGGGGTCGGACGGTTTCGCGGTCGGCCGCGTGGTCGACGGATTGAGACTTGGCCGATGTTCTCGGCCGGACGTGGGACGTTCTTTCCCGGCTCGGACGGATGCATCGGCCGTGGTACGCGAGGGTTGCGCGGCCGCGAGGCTTGTTTCCCGGCTCGCGCGGCGTGGTCGTGGCGTGGGTCGTGGCTTGGCCGACCGCGGGACAATGTTTCCCGGGTCGTGTGCGTGATCGGCCGTCGGTTTGGACTTTGGCCGAGACTTCAGTCGGACGGAGATTTGGCCGAGCGCGGAACATTCGTTCCTCGGCCAGCCGGACTGCGCGGTTGGGCGCTTTCTCGATAGAGCCGTCTGGAGCAGTCTTCACTCTTTTGGCTATAACTCCTTTTCTACTCATCCAAATGATGCCATTCCAATTGCGTTGGAAAGTTAACTCAATCAGAGCACGCAGGGAACTGGTCTTGATGAAATCCATTGAGTAGATCTTTTTCTGGGCCCTCTTAAAGTTGGTGCTTGTGCATGGAGCTGCTTGAAGTGCAAATCCTATGGTTTTGCTCCAAAATGCATCATTTCACCTGTTTAGACTCTAGACACTATAAACACAGTAAAACTACCTTTTTAGATAGAAAACCTGCCAAAAACCATTAGAAAACAATGCTAAAACAGTATAAAAAGTGGGTAAATTAGAGGTATATCACTAGTGATGCCAATGCATGCCCTGACTACAATAGAAGCGTGAAGACCACGAGCTCATCAGAATCAGCTCAAATCTCGGAGCTAAAGAACATGGTCTCACAACTACTTAAAAGCCGGCAAGGAGTTCACGCCATTGAAGATGCCCTAGCCACAAATGAAGACACTCTTATGGACTTCATGGGAGATGCCACTGAAGAGAACATAGAGGAGGTCAACTATATTGGAGGAAACTATGGGAATAGAGGATTCAATCAAGCATTCCGAGCTCATCCAAACCTATCATACCGGAGCAACAATGTGTAGAATCCAAGCGATCAAGTCTACCCTAATCAAGGAGCGTACCAAGGAGGCCAATATCAATCCAAGCCACAACAAGTCTATCCAAGGAGGTCACCACAAAATAGTTTTGGAGTTTTTGAAAATTTTATGATTTTTTTGGTTTTTCTATGCAAAAGGATGAATGTAAAACTAAGAACAAAGAAAACAAGGTGAAATCATCTCTTGAACCCTCCCCCAAACTTAAATCACACAGTCCCTTGTGTGAGAGAAATTTAGTGAAAGATTCAAAGAGGGCAAAACCAAGAAAAAACAAAATCAAGAAAATGATATAATGGTGGGTGTTTGATACCTCAGTGCCCCCCAAAGATTTGGGAGGCAAGGTCGTGGTCAGGAGAGGGTAGACGGCCGTCAGGGACACTCCACTCGACCGGGTTCACGCCGCTCGATCGAGCTTGCAGCTCGTCTTCTTCCTCTTCATCGTTGAAGTGTGTGTGGCTCCCTTGGCCTTGGTGGAGCCTGGCTAGCTCGAACTGGCCGTATGGGTTCCACCTGCTCTGGGGATACTCCTGGTAAGGTGTCGGATCGTACTCGAACCCAAGATTCTCGAATTCCGACTCCTCAAGACCGACTCGAGCATCAGCTCGATCGAGTTGAGTTTCCTCTATTTGGACTTGATCGAGTCATGTGGTCGAGTTAGAGCGTCGAGCCTTGGAACTCTTCCTCCTTCTCTGCGAGTTGTCTTCTCCTTCCCTTGGCTCAAATGATGAGGCTCTGTGAGGCTCTTGGGCAGGAAGCCTCCTTGGAGTGGTGAGGAGAGATCTACTCCTTGGGAATGTGGGGGCCATGGTTGCCTTCTTCTTCTTGGATGAAGAACCAGAAACTTTCTTCTCCAAACTCTTGATCTTGCTCACCATCTTGTCCATGGACTTTTGCATCTTTTCAATGGCCTTCCCTTGCCATTTGTTGAACTTTTGAAGAAGTCTAATCCTCTTGTAAGCAGCCACAACAGAGGGGTTCATCCTTGGAGCTTCATATTCTTCAAAATAGTAACACTCAGGCTCACCCAGATCTTCATTCTCCTGAACTTGATCCTCAGCTCGAACCTCAGCTCGATCCTCTGCTCGATCGAGTTCAGGCTCCTCTTCTCGCAACTCATCCTCATGCTCAACTAGCGTGTACACTGGGGGTCTGAAGTCGATGTTCTCACCCCTGACAACTGTGGTGAGCTCTGGGTTGGGCAGGAGAAGCTTGGAAGGGCCAGCCAGTGGATGTGTGAACTTGAATTGGTACCTCCCATCCAACTCCTTGTGTTCTATGAGGAGGTTTGTCTTGCAAAACTTGATGTCCATCCATCCAGCTGGAGTTGACATCCTCTTGTTCAGTTGGACCCCAGCCGCACAAAGGATTGGCGTGATGACTCCTCCAACACTAAGTTTCCTTCCCGTTTGAAACCGAGTGTTGTAGGCCGTGACCTTGTAGGAGAGCAGCTGCTCAAGGAGAGGCATGAGGTTTCCTGCGTGTGCCCTATCTCCTCTGATCTTCTTCCCATCTCTTGTGCGTGAGATGATGGGCTTAATTCCCATGTCAAGGAGCTTGACTTCTCCTTCATTGATTGTACCAGTGGCTTTCCTTGCAAAGAAGGTGTTGGCAAGAGCTTTGTGGACATATCTCAGCACTGGGCTCCTGATTTGGGCAGCCTTTGACCTTGAAGAAGAGTATCCCTCTTCAACGATTGTAGCCCATACTCTTTGGAGTTCATCTTCCTTGATATTCCATAGGTTTCCTTCTCCATAAGTGAAGCCAAAGAGTATCTCTAGCTGTCTGAAGGTTACCATCTTCCTCTCTCCCTTTGCCAAGAAAGTAATCCATCCCCAGCCTTGGTCCAACTCAGCTCGATCGAGCGCATCGAATTGGTGATACCTCATCGATGCCAAAAACTCACAAGTGAGCTCCTTGTAGGACTCCATGCGGTGAGAGAAGAACTTTGCCAATTGCATGTTCTTGAGTACCAACTCCACATCCTCAAAGATCTCAAGCGCCCTCATTGTGTCATCTTGTGGATACTTGGTCTCCACAAATTCCATGGAGAAGAGAGCATTGTAGTGCTCTTGGAACATGGGGAGTTCTTTGATTGCGCTGCATCTTATGGGATGAGTACAAGTAATAATTCCCTAAGACAACTAGTGTTGCAAGTGCACAACATATAATTGTAGTATTTAGGGGTCGAACCACAAGGGATTGGATTTCACACATTACATAATCATAGAGTTTAAATGACTAAGCTAAATCAAAATATGCAAGGGGTTGTGTTTGTTGAGAACACGCAAAAGAAAATAACAATGCAATTCTATACAAGCAACATTATTGAACTATTGAAAACTCTTTTGAAAACATGAGCCAAGTCGATTGAAAAGTTTGTTAAAATCCGATTCTTTTGAACTCAAAACACTAAGGAAGGATTATTCCACTTTCGTGGTTCCAATCCCCTATGTCTCTTAAACCAATGGGCTCAGCTTTCGTTGGTCATTGTAGAGTGAGACATGCATTACATCCAAGTAATGATTGTTCACAAAACTCTTTAGGTCTACTTTCGTAGCCTAAAACGATTTGCCCATCAAATACTATATCCGGAGATATAACAAGCTTTTGGAGAGTATATCAACCTAAAATCAAGTCACTAGTTAGCTACTCTAGCAACAGGCATTAAGCATAAATAAAGATGGAGAACCATAGGGTTTCCCCTTTTAACAATCGATTTTCGATGGCCATTATATCACGTCCTCATTGGAAGGATCCATAATTCAACAATGAGTCTTAGATAGTAGATGAAGTCTCATGAATCCTTAGAGAGAGAGGCGGCGGAATATGGACTAAACCACGCCTCACCCTTAGGGAGAAATCTCTACTTCTAGACTATATAAATTGAAACATGCAAGCTATATACAAATGCAAAAGAAGAAAAGAAAGAAGAAGGAGACCACCTAAGTGGCTCCGAACTTTATTGAATAAGTGTTTCTTGTTATGCGGCTGGTGATTCTTATTACAAGAGGCTAAAAGCAAGTATATATAGGTAGAGAGCGGGTCTAGGTCGGCAAAGTTGAGCGCGCGCAGAAGAGGAAAGTTTCCATTTCTCTTTAGCCGCTTGAGCTTGCTCTCCAAGTTCTTGAATGGGCCG